TTGAATTCCAAGAAGTATATACTGCAACAAACTCTAGAAAGGAAGTAAGACTTTGCATTTAACCAGAGCTCATATGATCTCACTAATATAAAATTAAGCATATTATTCCATAAATAATTAGTTGAGAAAATATTCTATAATGTGCTATTCTTATGTATAATGTTGGCAAATAGCACAAAATATATAGATCTAGTCTAATTTTCCTTAATTTTTGTCACATAATGGTTTTGTTTGAAAAAAACATTAACAATATTAGCTGACTTATTGAGAAATCTTATAATCACTCTCTGTTGAACTAAGAAGTTCCTGGAAAATTGTATAGTAAATGTTTAAACTATTGTTTCAGTTTGGTTGCCTTCTCAATTTTCTCAGTGCATAGGAGATGTCTTCTGTCTGTGAAATTTCATTATTTTATACAAGAAAGGTGAAATTGTTGCTGATTTCCTTGTTCTAGAATAAGTTATATTTTAAATATAGCTCTAAATCATTGATTCAATAAGCATTAATTCAAGAGTCTCCTTAGAACCTAAGCTTACAAATTACTTGGGTTCTATAGAGATCTTTGAGCATGTAAAAGACACATCTTTGATGTAGAGAAGGTAATATTTCATCTGGGAAGCAAATATGCAATTGGTAGAGACACAATTAAAGAATATTCTAAAGTAATGTCAGTACTATAGGGAATAAAGATATGGGTAAGGTCCTTCATTAAACCATTAAACTAAAACAGCTTATGAAGGACACACAATAATTAATGCATACATAGTTAGGGAGCACTTAAGGGGTTGATTTTCAAGCATGGTTATTAGTCTGTTCATGTTCATTGTATCTGTATTTTCAAAATGTCATGGATTTATTTAGAGGTATAATACCAATTATAAAGAAAAAGTCAGGTAAATAGGTAGCAGGTAAACGATGATAAGCAAGTTAACTTTTAGGATTTCATTTATACTTTGGTTCACTCACATCATTGTCATGCAGTATGATTTGTTTCCCCCAGAAGATTCACATTTATTCTACAGTGTCCCCATGAAATATGTGATTAAAACTATCTTCCTGGATAACATTAGTATCATTTAACCACAATTATTTCACATATCATAAAGAAGCCTAGAGTTACTCAATTGAGTCATGATTCTTAAACCACAATCATCCAAGAAGATTTTAGTGCTTACTTGTTTAACACAATCTTACAAATGATCCCTCACAAAGGATGTTAAAATCAACACATATCTTAATGGGCTAATTGTGCATACTGCGGTGTTGAGTCTATAAAAGCTTTTCAATAGTGAGAGAAATGATGGTGTTTTCATCTTAAATTGCAAACATAATTGCTGTTCTAAATATCTTTTTGTTTCCAATTTAAGTGCTTATTGACAGCAGAAATTTCCCCAAAACACTAATAGAGTATTTAACATAATTTCATTTATTGAAAAAAAAATCCAAGGGAAAATAACACACAGCTATCTGAAACTATTTAGCAGAAGAAAAAATATCAAAATGAAAATTTAGATAAATCTAAACTTAGAGAGCTCAAATATAACTAATATTCAATATAAATTTAACACAACTTATGTTTAATTAAACGTATACATTTAAATATACTGATGAGACTCAAGAAATAATAGTTATATCCTGGAAATCCAGGACAACGATTAAGAGCCGTACAAAAACAAACTGAAACTAAGAAGCTAATCCCTATTTTATAGAATTTCCCATCATTTTATTGAAAAATAAAAATACATTTCAGCTCAAATCATGAAAAATTAGTACAATTGAAATTAAATTCAATCAGTTGTAAATATTCTCTTGAGAAAACTATTTCATTTTCTACCCAGAGTTTAACCTCTGCCTTACTCAAAATTTTAAATTTCAATTCCTTAATTTCAATATGCTCAGTGTAGGTTTAGGGTAGTGAAATCACCACTCATAATTTATTAAGCTTTAAATTAATATATGTTAATAAAGTAATCTATATACAAATATATGGAATGTTTATCTCTCTAACTCTCACTTCTGTTTCTAAGCAGACATGAACATATGATGGATTGATTCTGAATTGACATATTTCACATTAAGATTTTAACTCATTAAGTCTTTCTTTTTTATGTAATAACAACATACATTTTTACTTATAAATATTAAGGATATTCAGCAAAGAACTTTTTAGATTAGGTTTGAAAAAATTTCTGATCATTCTGTGGTAGCTTTTCTCCTAAGTAGAAGTAGAAAATGCCAGACATTGCTTTTTAAAAATAAGCACTAAGAAAACTAATTAAACTGGTTAGCCAGAAAGGGAATATTGAGGAAAGAAAATAGCTTGGGACTGACCCCTATGATTTTATTGTTTTCACAGAAAATGCAATAACTCCTCATTGACATCAACTACCCAGTTGCAAGAAGAGTATACCTTCTGCTTTGGTGAGACACAGATGAAGCAATTAGTAAGAAGTAGTCATCAACCAAGAAGCAAATGAATTTGGGGAAAAAACTTTTCCAGTTGAAATGTCTGTTGAATGGCCCTGATCTTTGAAAGGCACGTTACAAAAAAGAAAAAAGAAAAAGAAAAAGAAAGTCTTGTGGTAAAGAACATGCATTCAAAAGAACACTTTAAAATCATTCTATCAAAATCAGATTATTTTGTCACCGTCTTTTTCAAGTCACTAATCAAAACAAACAAAAATAGGTCATGAAAAATACCACAGCCAGTTTTATACAGTCTCAATTACATAATAAAATGAATTAATTGTTCTTCAAATTACACATTTATTGACATATAAGTTTATTATAAAGTCTTTAAAATAAAAATGCATGTTTGGTGAAAAGTTAGTACAGTTGTAATTCATCATATTTTAAAATATAAAAGTAAAGAATGGGATAATTTTTACTATTTATTACATGATATAACTGACTAGCTGGGTTCTAATTCTGATTATTATAATTATCGTAATTCATTGCCATGCCAAAGTCAGTTCTGTGATATATGTCAAATAAAATACCAGTAGCTTAACTTATCGCATGACATCATGGTGTACCATGCATCTTTCAAATCTCTTAAAGAAAATGTAATGGCAGGAAAAACTTCTGACTTATGAAGTACCATAACTCACATGGAACCAGAAAACATTTTAAACCAGGGATACATAGAATATTGTAATTCATGACGGAACTAAAATATAGATAGCAGGAAAAAAAGGAGAAAGGCAAGGCTAGGTATGCATATAATGTCCGTTAGCAAGGATTCAGATTTTTAAAAAGGACAAAATAAGAGTTATGTTATTATTGAATACTGCATAGTCAATGAATGTTTAACATAAATCTGTCTTTTTCTCACGTTTGGGTTTGTTGAAAAGTAGTAATATTAGGCATTGTTTGGCACTTCTGGCAATGTTAGTGAATTTCATTATATCTAAGATCCATTTCATACATCACTACACAGAAATGCTGTCAATTGCAATTAAAACAGGCCCACTTGCCGAGATGTTAAAATGTAGAGAAACAAGCATCTTTGAACTGATGAAATAGAGTAATGCTTCTAATCAATTAGAATCAATTACTGGCAGTAAGAGATTACATGACATATTATTTCTCCCAGAAAATTAAAAGTTCCATTGCCTGATACCTTCCTATAAAACAACAAAAAATATATATTGGTATTGACTACACTTTAAATATGTTATCCAAATGGAAAAGGGGAAATATGTTGGTGAGTCCAACTCATAATAAAAACACAAAACAACAGGAAAAGGAAGGCAGTACTAAACTGGTATTTAAAGTTGTCATTAATATTACTAATATTAAACAAGAGGTTACTTCCCAAAATTTATATTTCATTCATCCCATTCTCTTTAAATTTTCTGCATTTTTAATCATTTACTTTCAGTTAAAGAAACTAAACATTTGATCTGAGGTGAAAAACACTGACTCTAAGTTTGTTGGTTTACATAAATGATCCAGAACCTGCTTTGGATATACATTTTAATTTATTACCATCTCAATAAGTCTGATTGCTTTGCATTTCTGATTGCACTTTGTTATTAACATTCATCTACAGTTTTCAAAAATTTAGCCAAAATTAATTTTTGAAGTACCAGCCAGTTCTCATCAACTTCTGAAGCATTTTGTATTCTTACTATGTAAGATGCTAAGAAAGATTTTAGTATTTTACGAACACTTAGTAGTAGGACTGAAACTTGCCCTTATAAGCAATTTCTTTCTGCAGAATTACTTAAGAGAATTTAAAATTTGATTGTTTTCCTGGAAAGGACACACGTGTATTCAAATATTTGGAATATAGTTGGTTTTTTTAAAAAATTAGTTTTTCACAAAAGTCTCACTCAAATCAACTTAAAGATCAAGGAAAGAACAAGGCAATGAGTTAAGCCTCTCTTTTTAGATCTAAAACATTTTTATTGATCTTATTAGCAATGAGAGGGAAGAAAATCCATTTAAAAGGGTAATTTACTAATATGGAATAGTGGAGAGAAGGGATTAGGGGGTTAGTCGCCACAAATGGAAGTCAGGGTGAAGGCGGATTTTGTAAATATGAAGCCCCAAATATCACAGACTTGCATCTCTTTGGTTTAATAAAATAGATGGGTGAATTTTAAATTCTGAACAATTTTTAATATGCCTAATCATTCCAATAAGTTATGAAACATTTGTTTATTCTGCTTAATTTAAAAACTTGGTTTAGCTCAATTCTATCACTACCTAGATATTCAGACTGGTCCCTTTTTTAACTGACTATGAACATATACCTTAAATTCCAAGTTCATATATGTTTCATATTTTGCCTTCAAGGGTTGAACTATTTTTTTATATGTATTGTAAATATAGGAGTGCATCAGGGAATTCCTATTAAAATTCCTTCCTGCAGACATTAAGGTATATGAAGCACTGAAGATTTATCCCATGGTAACATAAGCAATAAACTGTTTAACTAATCTCATTTTAGTGTTAAGTGAACACTGGTCAACAAACACACATACCGCTTGTCATACCTTACCTGGAAAGAGGCTTTATTGAACATAGCTGTAAAATTATATTTTAAGTTGAATTACTGAATTCGCACAAACATTTCTACAGAATTATTTTAAAAATCAAGCTTTGTCATTTTTCCACTACATTTTGTTGTGCTTTTTATATTAATATTTGCAAATGTTATAATTTAATTCTTATATCCCAATTACTTGCATAATCAGTTTTTTTTTTAATCCTGGGGTGTTGAAAGAACATAAAATAATAATAATAATAATATTCTTCTTTAGACAAAAGTCTTTTTAAATGAAGTTAAAAGCTGAGATAATTTAAGGAAAAATATCTTCAAATTTTCATAACCAACAGGTTTAAGTGAAATTTACAATGCATTGGAAAACTGGCTGGTTAAAGGTATGATCTGTCCTCAGGTAGCTCAAAATCATTTTTACAGGTTTTTGTTTTTTTGTAAAAGTGTTTTTTAATCTTGGTAAAATAATAAAATAATATTTCACAATTTGCACAGAGTCTGACTAAAGGGCAGAGGCGTATTACCCTCAGTGTTAAGAATAAAGCCAGATTTTTCAGGCCCAGTTCCGCTGTAGAGTTTGTTTGCACTGCAATCACAAAAATTTTCTTGTTCCCTCTAAAGCTAGGGCCAATTTCATTTCAAATAGAGGTTAGAGTAAAAAATCACTTTTGTGTTTTACCACCTTCCGCGCTAAGTATTATCTTAACAACCTTTTGTTCTGGTTGACCCATTTTATAACCTGGAAGAAAAAAGTGTTGCTCCGTGTCTGGTCTCAGTGGAAGTTATGTTCTAATGGACAATAAGCCGAAAGGCCATGGCTGTCTAGGAGGTTAAACAAATATCTTGCCTGCGTGGGCTTACGCAGCAGCTTCGGTCCTTTCTTCTTCAGAAGCGGCTTTGTTGTCTTGCCTGTAATTTGCACATTTAGGCTCTGTAGTTTGTTTACAAAATAGTTTTACACAAACCACTCTTAGCAGTGCAAGCTTCTGAGTTGAAAATTATTCAGGCTTGTTTCATTGAAGGCACTTGGTTTCCATGGCAATTTATAAAAGATGGTGGTTTGGTTTCTTCATTGGAACAGATGACATAGTTTGGGTGTTCAAGTGGCCGCAAGCAAACTCCGATAAGCCTGTGTAATATGTAAGCCCAGGTTTACCATCCTGGATAGTAGTGCATGCAAAAAGAGACAGCATACAGTTATCTAGCTTAGCCATGGGAGGAAAAAAAATAATAATAATAAAGGTGGGAGGGGAATAAGGTGGGGAGGACCATGAATGCTTTAAATAATTCTGAGTTCACGTTATTTTCACGGAAGGGTAACAGCCAAAGGTAAAAGGGCCTACATTTATTTAATTCTCTACGTAAAACCTTCTCGAAAGGAAAATAAATGCCAGCTCTTCACGTACCCTGTTTACAGTGAGGTTTTTGTTGGCAGGCCATTAGGTTTCCATGGTAACAAGCAAACTATTCATTTGAAACAAAACCAGCCATGACTTTGTGCTTTGACAAGGATTTCTATAGCTCTTTTTTTTTTTCTTTTTTCTTTTTTTTTTTTTTCTCCAGAGTTCAACCAGATGACACTGTAATCTTATAAGCCACAAAAGCACCTGAAGGTCTCTTCTCTACTCAGGTCAAGATTATCTTTTATGTGTAGTTTGGAATAAGTTATACTTCCATGATGTCTTTTTATCCCCAGTGCTTAAAAAAAATTTCTTTTTATTATTTATTTTTGAGTCAGTAGTCAGTGGAGGAATCTTTGGTAGTTTGTTTTTTCTGTGTCCATTTACAAAGACTCTTTCTTCATGCCAGTACTTGGTGAATCTTTTATAGCCTCTGCCAGGATAAGGTCACCTTCGAGGACTTAAGATAGAGATGAGGACGATAACCGGAAAAAGCCATATATGTACCAAAATCCCAACAGCACCATCGACAGAATCTAAAGATAAGGAAAATAAATGCCAAAAATAAAAATAAAAAAAGAGAATAAGCATTCTATGTGGCTACTAACACAGCTTTGATGAACTAATAACTTAAGTGTATGGAAAACACTTTTGGAAAATACTTGCTTTTGTTTTATTTATCAGCGTCATTGCTAAGGCAAGTGAAAAAGACAAAACTTGAATATATGGTAAGGTATTTCTAAAATAAAAATATATGTAGATTTTAAATGGATATGATATGCTTTGAAAACTTGTTCATAAGATATCCACGTGAGTTTGTGCAAGCCATAGAAACCATGAACATGGAGAAAATTCTCAAAACCTTTATTATTTTTAATCTTTATTTTTTTGAGTTGGAGTCTCACTCTGTCGCCCAGACTGGAGTGCAGTGGCATGCTCCTGGCCACCGCGGCCTCGACCTGCTGGGCTCCGGCAATCCTTCAGCCTCAGCCTTCCAAGTAGCTGAAACTACAGGCGCGCGCTACCACTCCCGGCTGACTTTTTTATTTATTGTAGAGATGAGGTCTCGCCAAGTTGCCCAGGCGGGTCTCAAACCGACAGGCTCAGGCAATCCACTCACCTCAGCCTCCCAAAGCACGGGATTACAGGCTGAACCACTGAGCCCGGCTTCTCAAAACCTTTAAAAGGTGAGCTTTTTTGTCCAAGCTCCAAAAGTGTTTAAGCTTGAAGACTGAGAGAAAAACTCCTTTTGATGAAACAAGGAAGCAATTATTATGAGTATAGAAATGAACTATTGCAACTAGTAGATTAGTTGAGTTTAGATCAGTTCATTATTTATAATTTATGTAAATCCTTTTTTAATTTAGTTTAATTTTTATAAGTGCTATGCCATCCTTCTAACTAAAAAAAAAACAAACAAAAACAAACAAACAAAAAAAACCCTTCCACCAATCCGCCTTGAGATTTCTACTGCAATTTGTTCTTTAAAGCCTCCTGTCTCGGTGATGCCTCCTAGAATGCATACCTTGCCTAGGAGGGCTAACACATGCATGTCCAATAATTTATTAACATGCCTAAAGTTACAAAATGATTCTCATCCAGGAGAGAGCTGGGTTTCAAAAACAGAGACATACAATCTTAACTCTTAAAGATGTGGGCCATAATGCTATGTAATGCATGGGAAGGGGTGGAAGCCTAAGCAGTTGGGAAGAGACTTTTGGCCTTTAGGCTAGTTTTTACTTAGAAGTTAGTATTAATTTAATATTCATTAAACAAACAAACTCTATTCAGCAAAATGAACTTAAAAATAATAATTAAATAAATACAAATCCAATAGAATATTTTCTTGTACCAAGTAGACTATTTCTGTTCACTTAGCATTATTTCTTTCCTTGATTTATAGAAGTTGAAGAAAAGTCTCCGATACACATAGATATATCCTATTTTAAACTGCCATATATTTCTCTAGATTTACTCATTTAGGAGAAAAAAATTAATACAAATTTTTGTGTGTGTGTAATAATGAAGTCCCTATAGGATTTTATAATCGTTTCACTGTAGCTACTCTTATCAGTTATGCTTTTTCTTCCAGGTAGTAAATTATTTTCTCTTTCTTTCCTTCTTTGGAAAGTTTAATTCAATTTATTGAACTTAATTATTTATTTATGATTAAATTATGAAAATGTAAAATTTCTGTATAAAATTGCAACTGTCTTCACTTAATAAAATGTTACTGCCACCAATTCATGTTGCAAAAATTTAAAAAATCCATTTTCTTTTAAAGAGAATGTATGATTTTTTGTGCACTAGATAAACCTGGTTCATTGGGTATAGTTAATGATTTTTTAAAGCAGAATTAGACACAAGAAAAAAATTTTATTAATGTGTTATTTGAAACGTGAAGTGTCATGACAAGACACTATGAGCAAAATGACTTAGTTTTTGTCTTTTTACGATGCTTAAAGATGAAGTCAGTTCAGTTCCTATGAGCAATCTGTGGATAGTTGTACAAATTTGACATTCAACATCTAAACTGAAATAGTTTCTCAATAAGTATAGCAAATTAGTAAAAACTCTAATTTGCTCTATACTTATACAACATAGATTTTTATGCTTTTGTATATGCTAAATAATTGATGAATTATTTGTGTAAATTCAGCTTAATTGTTACCTCTTTATATGACCACAAAATTAAAGATTCCACATGGGTATAAGATAACCCTTCAACTGTAGTCATTTTTAACAGGAATGATTTTAGATTTCTTAGTTTCAAATGTGAAATATGAAGATGGAGATTTTAAGAAGAGCTCAACACATAATTCTAAACCTTTTTGCATTATTACGTGTGTGTGTGTGTGTGTGTGTGTGTGTGTGTGTGTGTGTGTGTGTGTGTATGTATTATTATTATTTTTTTAAGTAGTTGGAGTCTCACTCTGGCCCCCAGACTGGAGTGCAGTGGCTGCTCCCGGCCATCGCAGCCTCGACCTGCTGGGCTCTGTTGATCCTTCTGCCTCAGCTTTCCAAGTAGCTGGAACTACGGGTGTGCACTACCATGACCAGCTAATTTTTTTTTATTTATTGTAGAGATGAGGTCTCGCCAAGTTGCCCCGGGCAGGTCTCGAACCTGCGGGCTCAGGCAATCCACTCACCTCGGCCTCCAAAAGTGCTGGGATTACAGACTGAGCCACCAAGCCTGGCCATGCATTATTTATTATATTTTTTATACCTCTTCTAATAATAGAGGGACCTGTGATGAAAAACATAAAATTTGAGACTATCATTGAACGATAATTTTCAAACCAGGGTATATCAGTGAACCAAATGACTGTTCACAATGATGAATTTGTTAAAATATTTGGCAAAATTAGATGTAGGAAGTGTATTCATAAACTGGGGAATAAAAACATTTATGGCATAAAAATGTGTGCTAAGTATATAAATTTCTCAAATATTTCAATGAATTTTTAAAAAGATTGTTTGAAATACAAATTATAAAATAAAATATTTTTAAAATTTTAATTAAAAATAGAGGATGTGCTTGCCTTTCATAGATCTAAACCAAAACGGCTCCTATTTTTATCTTAGGCCAAATACGTCTACAGTTTAATTTAATACATTAAATTTAAAAACACCTTCAAAACTTCAGGGTCTTAGGTATAAGAAATTTCTAAATAAACAAACTAAAAATACTTTTAAAAAGTAGAATATATTAATTTATATTCATTTTATAGTTATGTTACTCTAACATCACATTAAATCAATCCAAGAAAAGATACTTACTCTTAGTGGTTAGGTCTTGTTTTGCACATTCTCCTTCTGCAATGGATACATCATCGATGGCAATGTCACCTTCTATGCCAGGGCCTCGAATACCTTCAAAAATGAGCTACAAATACAAAGGAAACAAACCAAAATGTGGAGCTTGATTTCCAGATCAATTTCTTAGAAATGGTTTAATAATCAATCAATTCAGGTTTCTGTACAACAGTATTATGTCTGTTGAAGCCCACAACAAAGGTTCACTATCTCTCTGTTTAATTTCTTGCAGAAAGATTGAATAAATTCCTCATTTTCCCTCTATTACCTTATGACTTACCTTTATGATGTCACTTTTGATATTTATGAGTCTATTATGTTGGATATCTAGTGGCAGATCTTTTATTTCCAGTGTCTATAACAGGTGGTGGGCACTGAGGCTTAGAGTATGAATATTAAAAGAGTAAATGAATAAAATCAGACTCCCTTTATTATTAATTTCTGGATACTACGACAGTATAAGGAAAATAGGCAATTTTAAATTATTTTATATTTACAGAAAGAAGACTTTAAGAATTTTCTCTATAGTCCCCAAATTATTCCTTGTTTCCACCAAAAATTTTTAAATTATTTTGATAGTAAAAGGCAATCTATGCATTAGTGATTTATATTCCTAGAAAAAATTCTGCACATCAAAATGACTAGTTTGGTGTTTCCAAAGAAAAAGTAGTTTAATAAAAAACTGTTTCTAACATCAAGCTGATAGGTATATTTTAAAATTATATTTCTAGATATATTTCATTACAATAAATTTGAGTGAAAATTCATTTTTATCAATTGCAAATTTGTTTATTTTGGTTTTTGTTTGTCTTTGGACACCTCTGCTGAAAAGTAAACATGAGATAATGTTCAGAGACTTAGAGAAACTGATACAGTGTTCTTTGATATGTTATCATAATTTTAGCAATGAACAGTTTCAAGTAGTAAGCAGAGATATTAGTTGTCAACTTTCATATTGAATCCCTGTCCCCCACTTAAATATATTCTGTAAGATAAAGAAGAATTTCACAACTTAACAGAAGAGAAATGTTTGAGAAGTTTTTATTAATATATTTAGTTTTTATAAAGGCAGTTTCCTGCTTATCTATGTGAAGATAAGCATGTCAATAAAGATTGTTCAAAACCATCATTTTGAAAGGCATTTAGACTGCCCTATATCACTGAAGATGGAACAGAATGGCAGCTAGAGTTCAAATATTTAGAACCAACTTAGCTGTTGACCCAATTCTCAGTCCTTAGATAGAATAGGCAATGAAGGATTACTTTGGCTATCTGGAAATAATGACTTTCATTTTAGTTAGAATATTGTCTGTGCAAGTATCTGGGAAGTGGCTAAAATACTCTCAAAGGTCTATTTAAAACACAAGGTCCATGAAAAAGAATTTTTTTTTTTAAGTCAATGGTTACAACCGTTTATTTAAACTGAATATGGAAAAAGAAAAGTCATTTTAACAACTGCAGAATATGCCAGTTATGTATATAATTTATTTAATCAGAACACTATTATTACTGTTAGACATTAAAATTATTTTCTGTTACTGTGAACTAGGCTGAGATGAATACATTTCAAGTAATTATTATATGTACTTATTTGGAGCACATGTTTCTTTGAGGTCTTTGAATTGCTACTATCAGCAATTTGTCTGTGAGAAGGTATTCCCTTGTTCTTACTAGTGGGTTTTAAATCTTTGGGATGTGTATTTCCTTCTTTGCTTCTTACCTTATAAATAATCCATGCTAGAGTATATCAATAGTTATTCCCACTCCCTTTTTAGTTTCAGCCATATGATGCTGAGTCTTCTCAAGATAACATGAATGGAATAACTTGGAGAAAGTTAGAACACAAAGATTCATGTTGAATATCAGTCTAGCTCCACAAAACCAAACATTTTTCACTTTGCCCACAAGACTAATACTTTGTTAGTTAAAAATGGAGTGCTGCTGTTGCACTAAATTTTTATTTTATGCAGGTATTTTAAGTGATTGGATGGAATGAAGGCTAGACTTCTGTCTTCCAGTCGTGTTTTAATTCCGGGATGAAGGAGGAGAAAGAATGTTTTTGTCAGGAAAATTTGACATAGTAAGGATGAAACCTCCTCAGTCATCAAGAATATTAATTTAAAAAGATAGATATGGGAAATGGGAATGAAAGGAAAGTAAGCACCTCTTGTGGAGTACAATATACAATACAGGGTTTACAATATAGCCACGGAAAAGATAAAGAGATTGCATTTCCATGTGTTTTGGTGGGGAAGTGAGATGTCACAGTCTAAGAAGAGTAGGTTCCAATGTCCTGTACTTGCTCACACTTGAAATTTATACAGATGAAGTTGAAGTCATAATCCTCATTGGGAAAGATGCTGGAGAAATAGGCTTGGGAGTATAAGGATTTCCCATCTTAGTTATGTAAAGGTGAATAGTTTTTTAGAATTATCCACATTTTTTCTTATTTAAAATATACAATTATTTTCACTTAGTAAGATCTTGTTACAGGCAATGAGGAGTCATCTAAAATGGTCAGATTATATTAAAAAGTCAAAACAAAAACATATGAGTCATCAAAATCATTCCTAAACTTTTCAAGGCTGCTTTTCCCCGGAAGCTATATTTTAGTTACAACAATCCTGCCATTGCTCAAAGCATTTCAAAACTTCTACTACTGCCTTTAAAGTTGTCAACAATCCTCCTTTTTCTATTGATTTCTTTTTTGTCCCTTCCTCCTGTCTCCCTGTGCAGCTTGATCAAATTCACAAGGCAAGGCCTAGGCTTGTGCTAAAAACAAAAGCCCTGAAGCAGAAAGATTGTGAAGGACAGCCACTTTTTTGGTCATATTGACAGGGTGTGTTGGGAGCCGCTTGCAGTAAACATCAGGAAGTACACTGACTGATGTAATTTAATATATGTGCTGCCTGCCTGCTGGCAATATGTTGAGTGTAAGTGTGTAGTTGGCTAAACAGCAAAAATATAAATCAACAAATATCATATGGACGTATGTTCAGAGGCTGACTATGCCTAGAACATTCCCTTATACAGATACTTCATCCCTTGTGATATTAAATGGATGAATAGTGCGGTAATAAAAAATGGCTAACTTGAACATCTATCATTTACATTTACCTTTACAAATATTGATAATACATTTCACCATTGAATAAAGCAAGTTGATTTCTTTCTATGGGAGCATAGCAAGAGTTTTAGACATTGTGTGGAAATAAATCAGGAAATTAGTATTTACTGCTATGATAGAAATAATCTCTGATGATAAAACTTTTGCTACAGTCATAATTAGTGATTTTAATATTTATTAGTAATTTTGTGATGATAGGAGATCTAATCCAATAGGCCAGAGAAATGGTAGTCTTCCCGGGTCTTTTTTGAACAGGAAAAAAAAGGGATGCCCTTCAGAGTATGTTTGTTTGTTTCCTTTTAATTTCCATGGTAGTTATGCAATTGAGAAGACATAGATTGCTTTTTAACTGGTTGACTTTTACAGAGAAATATCGCATTATTCGCCTCATGCTCTGAATTCTACTACAATTCTATCTTTGAAGTACTGTAATTAAACTTTATAGATTCCAATAGACATATAAGTGGCATCTAGACTAAAATCTAGAGAGAGAATGTTTTCTTGTATTGTTTCTACATAGTGGATTACAGAAATGAAATGCTTTGGTATTAAATTTAATGAATATGTCTTAACCAAACTTTCAAGTGTTTGTAAAAATAAATCTTTGTTGACAAACAACTCCTTCAGGAATATAAAGATGAACAACTCTAATAGTCCATTAAAATATGATGTATTTCAACATGGAAGATGTGATCTTTAGACAATGAAAAAAATTCTGAATTATATTCACTTTGAGAAGAAAGACTCTCTAGTTCAAAGAGTTTAAACATGCCATATTTGTATGACATTTCGTCATGATTCTGACTACTATTACACTACAGAGACATAACTACATTTCTTTCCTCTTCAGTACTTCTGAAATACACTGGTTTAATTGACTTAAAGAAGGAATTTAGGGCATCTAGATATCCATGGAGAAAATGTTGAAAGATTAGGTTTTCTGAAAGAGGGTTAAAATTATGCAAAACTTATTCTTCCCACACTATCAGACCAATATTATTTAGAATGGTCTCCCATAATTAAAATGATAACTTTAAAATGTAAAAGTTAGCCGGGCTCGGTGGCTCAGCCTGTAATCCCACGCCTTTGGGAGGCTGAGGTGAGTGAATTGCCTGAACCCGTGGGTTCGAGACCCACCTGGGCGGCGAGACCTCATCTCTACAATAAATCAAAAAATCAGCCGGAAGTGGTAGCGCATGCCTGTAATTCCAGCTACTTGGAAGGCTGAGGCTGAAGGATCGCCGGAGCCCAGCAGGTCGAGGCTGCGGTGACTGGAAGCAACCACTGCACTCCAGTCTGGGCGACAGAGTGAGACTCCAACTCAATAAAAAAAAAGGTAAAGGTTTTCATAGTGCTTGTATGAAATTCAGCAAACTTAATATACAAGAAATACTGCATAAACAGAAAATTAACTCTTGATGGATAAATTCAAATGGCAATTTTTTAAAAGTATGTGGACTTCTGTTTAATTTTATACCACACAAAATTGTTTCAATTCATCAACTGAAACTTTCTTACATACATTATAATGCTCTAAAACATATGAACATACATGTCAATATAGGGATATAGATGATGCTATTAAGACTTGTGCTCAGATGTAATCTCTCAGTAAGAAAAGAAGAAAAAATGTGGCATTAATGAGTAAAAGTAGATGGAAGAATCAAAGGATACAGTGTACTTCTGGTGATTTGACATCATTGTTAATGGCGCCATCTGCAAATGTTTACAACATATTTTCTTTCTGACAAAAGACAGATCGCTTCTGATCATTACTGCTAAGGCAATGCAAAAGCTTAAGAATATAGATTGAAAACTGACAGTGTATATCACTTCGAAAAACTTCAGGTTGTAATTACATTTGAAATAGGTATTAACATTATTAATATTATCATTATTTTATTAACGGTTCAACAAATAACTGCAACCATTACAAAAGAAAT